GATCTCCAGGTACCCTCCCACAAGGGTACATGTTGTTCCCCAAAAGCACTGCTACTGCCAAGGTCAACCAGGGCGACATGTCAAAACGAGTCTCACTGCCGTAACTGGCTGGTGCTGGAGGCTACCCTTTGGTGGGAGGGTACTTTGCACAAGAACCCAAACATTTCATGGCCATGTTTTTGACGGTCGGAACAGGCCAGAGCCGCTCCAAGATCTTCCTGGCGGCACTGGCTCTCTCCGTACTGGTGGATGCTATGAGGCGAAAATCACTAGTTGTTTTTGCGTGGCCGGAGGGTGCACCTTGCATTTTTGTCCCAAAGGAGAAACATGGTATTTCCAGCTCCTTTCGTTGAGCAACCTCGTCCAGCCCTTTTGTCAAGTAAAATTTGCCGGGATCGTAACTTGGGAAATTGCCGCCTCTCCTTTTGGAGCGTGTGTGTGGGTGTGTGTCCTTTGTGTGGGTTCATCAATCAACTTCAGTAGGTTGGCTCGATGGAGAGCTTTACAGCCAATCTTCCTTCCGGACGGTTCTACAAGCCATGAGAAGCTTGATGCATTGTCGCTCAGCAATAGCCTGGTGCATGGCGACCAGCAGAAATGCAGACACCGCATGAGTCAGAGGGGTGATGTGCATCCAATATTGCAGCTTAGACTTGACTGTAAATCGTCCTCAAAGGATTTGCCAGACATTGGTTGGGCTCTAGCGGCTTTCTTGCAGCTTCTATAGCTTCAGGTATACAGCCATCCTCTCGGCCATGATGACGGTGCTGGGCAGCAAGTGGAACGCGCTCAAGGCCCTTTGTAACTTCACGCGTCAGAGCAAAGGACCCATATGGCCATGAATTTTAGTAGGGAACCCCCTCCAAAGTGGTTGGTGGACATGGATCTCCACCTAAATCAAAGGGCTTCTTATTTAAATCTCATGCCCATATTAGAGCCTGTCGAAAGAGGATATTGGGCCGGGGGGGATGAGTTTTGAAAGGAATGCACAAAGTCAACCTGTAGGATGGTTTTGACACGGCCATTTGTGTCCCCCTATGGCCTTAGAGACATAGAGCCGTTTTCAATCTTTTGGTTTTGTCGTGTTGCTCGATCTGAAATATGTCTGCTACAAACTGGAGTCAAGATCGTTGGATGTTCTTCTCTTCTGGATCTCTCTCTCTCTCTCTCTCTCTCTGAGTTCATGGGCTTTGGTCACTGTTTGGGTTTGGACTATTTGAGTGGTAAATAAAAACATGGTTGTTGTTGGGAAACATTTTATATTTTTGCTCATTGTGGTTTAGTGGTTGAAATCCCACCACTTAACTGCTAAGAACTATTGTTTGCGTCAACCAAGAAGAGTTGTGTTGGGTTTGGACCATTTGAGTGGCAAATTGAAAAAAACAAGTTCCTGGTTACTTTTCGTGGCCAGTCCATGTTTGGCTGCCCTTCCTGTCAGGGCTGCTACCTGGCCGCCTGCCTTTCGGCGGCGGCCGCGGCCGCATCGCCCTGGGTGTCGTGACAGCCTCAGACTCGGGAGAAATGGCAGTGGCTCAAAAAAGTGGTACCAAAACGGCACCTTGGTAAGTGGAACCAAAACGGCACGACTGAACACTAATCTTACACCTCCTTTAATGATAGGGTCCTCTATTGTGTAAAGTGTTTTTTTTGTTCGTAATTCAGGATCCTGTGACTGTTTTAGGTGTCTTCTATTATGGAAAGTTGTTTGGCCGGAAAATGCCGGAAACAACGCTGGACAAAACATGGGCAACAAAAACTTGGCAAGCAAGTCGGGCAAAAAAAAGGCAAACAGATCCTGGCAAACATTGGGATCCTCTTTACTGAAACTGTTTTGGGGTCCTCTGTAGTGTCCAGCTGGTTTCGGGGTTGCTGAAAGTTGAAAGCCAAAGCCTCAGCCTTTTACTTTCAATTGAGGGGGCTCATCCTAAGCTCTCCCCAGCTCAAAGGTTAAAGGACTGAGATCTAGGAGATCCATTTTGCAAGTTGTTCCCAAACCATCAAATTTAAGATAACTTCTTTACACACAATCAGTCACGCAAAGGGGGGTTGCCCACAAGAGCCCCTGATCCTCTTTAGTCTGACTGTTTTGGGGTCCTCTTTAGTGTCCAACTGGTTTCGGGGGTTGCTGAAAAAACGGTCCTTGGCAATACTAAAGTAGAATTAGCAATACTAAAGTAAGTACTGGAAATCTGAGAGCCAGCCTTGCAATATTAAAGTAGAATTGGCAATGCTAAAGTAAGTACTGGGAAGCTCCAGCAATACTAAATCAAATGGAAACTCAGTTCCAAATCTCAAAAGGAAGCTCCAGCAATACTAAATCAATTGGAAACTCAAGTCTATCAAATTGAACCTCATCCAAGTCCCACCCAGACCCCCAGGATTTCCCTAAAGAGGGTCCAGCTGACTGGTTCCATTGTTCGGGGGGGGGGAGAGCATTAAAGAGGGTCCAACATTAAGTGTCTCCAAGTCTCTGACCAAGGCGATCAGTCAAATGAGTCACGTGCTCAAAACCCGGGTAGATGAAGGTTAGTAAGGGGCAGTCTCAGCCGGAAATTGGTTTGCGGAGATCCGCCTTTTCAATTCCTTACATGGTTCTGGGTTCACCATTTTTGTACCAGGATTTGACTATGACTCAAATGGCACCTTGGAAAATGAAACCAAAGCTGTGCCAAAGACTAGCGTAGCTCTTGGATTAAACTGGTAAATGGAACCAAAGACTAAAACCTGCGGTTTGCCCTAGCTCTTGAATTTTGAGCCACGGCCAAATCTGTGCATCTGGAAGTTGAATCGATGGGCAGGGGAATGAGACATGGAACGACCCCGAGGCAACCATCCCCGATTTGGTGTCCTAAATTCGGGAATCTCCAGGTTCATTTTTTGAAAATTCAGGATCTCAGCAGGGAATGAGTTGGAATGACCTACAAACAATCCCCGATGTTGTGTCCTTGGAGGGAATCCCGCCAAGGTCCATTCCCAGAACCCGGATTCGTTGTGATTCCCTGCCTATGGCATCAGCAAGTCAATCTGTGGCCCAGCTTTGGAGTACCCAAACAAGTAGCTTACTAGCTTACCCTTTGGTCCACTAACATGCAACCCACCAGAGCGTGGAGGAAACTGGTCTTCCAGGACCCCCTCCATGTCACAGGGTATTTCTCTTTCGCCCGTCATCGAGTGGCCTTAATGCCCCTTCCATGACCAACATAAGTATATAATTGTAGGGGGATAGAGTTCGGTAATCGCAAGCCTCACAGATCCCACAAAGAGTGGTGTTTTTGAGGGGTACCTCTTTTGGTTTGAGTGGAAATCAACCCTTCGAAACGCTCGCATCCAGTTGAAGCAACACCCCGATATTGCAAGATGTGTTCTCCACCCCCAAACCGATATCTCAGGGGGACAAACCGGTATGAAACCACTTTTTTTATTTTTCTGCGGGCGGTTTCGCCGGTTTTCCCCGTTTGTCGCGCAGCTTCGGGGCGAAAGTTCCGCTTCAGCCGAGCCGCAGCTGGCAGGCAGTGGGTGGCGCAGCAGATCTCCGGCATCTCCTTGGACCTAGAGGAGGCCAGCTCGAAGTGCTCGAAAAACTCCGGGGATAGAAAAGAGAGCTACGCCATGGCCCCTGGGTCCATTCAAAGAAAGTAAGGGATGGGCCCCTCAAAGAAAGTAAGGGATGGGATGCTTCTTCAGTTCCGAAGTTCCTATCTACCTGGGCACACAGTAAGGGATGGGATACTTCAGTTCTTCCAAAGTTCCTATCTACCCGGGCATACCTGTGGTCGTGTCTCGAAGGGCCAGATGGTGCTTCTCTTGTCTCAGGGTAGATGGAGGATAGAAAGGGAGACTCCCAGCCGGAAATTGGTCTGCGGAGATCCGCCTGTTCTAATTCTTGAAGCATGGTTCTGGGTTCAGCATGTTTGTACCAGGTTGTGACCCTCTGTGGGGAAGCGACAAGTCCTTGGGCGAACTTCGGAAGCCGCGTCATGGCGATAAATCCCACCTCGGAAGTTTGCATTGCGAACTTAACTGACGTCCGTGGGATTAAGATAGCCTGCGTGATAGCATAGAAACATGGAAGGATGGGTCAAATTAAGCCACTAGGTACACTAGCGGCTCGCAGGTGTTAGCACTTAATCCCATTTGACAGGGCAACCCATTGTGGGGTTGCCCGATTTTTCACAACCACACCCACACGACTTGGTTTTGGGTGTAATTGGCGGTTCTTCGCCGCACGAGGAGGTGCTGCCGGATGATCCAGCTGCACTAGGCCAGAGATGGGTCCAGAGACATGTGAACCCTGTAATCTCCTCACTCCCTGAGTTCATGGACTTGTTCTAAGGTTTGACTCCCCATTCTCTTCATCCATCCTTCTCAATAGAGAAACCACCGATTTTCGAGGGTTTGGCAACCATTTTTTGAAGAGAAGGATCCCTGAAGAGAATGGGGAGGGTACCGCTGGAACTTTAGCCACTTTTTTAGAAAACCAGTTTGATGGCAAACAACACGTGAGGCTCCTTGGTTGTCCTCTTTGCTCTTTGGAGAGAGTTGCCCTGTCAACTCACAGGGTGCACTTCACGGTTCTTGGCAAGTGCTTTGTTTTTTGTTTTTCGTTGGTTCTGTTTAATTTTTGCAGGGGGGCTGCAAAAAGCAAAGTGCTTGCAACCATACCAAGGGTTGTGAAGTGCACTTGTTCTTCTCATGGCGAGAGGAGAGTCTGAGAGCTTCGAAGCTGCTAGGTGTGGGATGGCGTGGACAGGATCGATTCATCAGCCCCTTCAGGGATCTTTTCATACCTGCAGATAGCACCAAGCAAACCATATCATCAAAGCAATGCAACCAGACTGCAAGTTGCAAGCGTTGCAATGCACATTAGGACCAAAATGCCTTCTGCAGAGCAGGGAACCTCCTTGAACGGAGTTGGCTCCACTGCTACTTGAAAGGAAGGCAAACCCCCTAAATGGAACTCAGCATCGAAAGCACCCCGCGAGCTTCCATTGTGGTGGTTCAAAGCTTCACGCTCACTTGAACCGCTTTGCCAGGCAAAGCCACCATCTCTGCAGTGCTGCCGCTTGCTTTGACTGGCTACGTCCAAGCCTGAGGAAGCCAAGTCACATCGACCCCACAGTCGCTGGATGCGTGGCAGAAGCTTCGAAGCTTCGACCGAGGTCTTCCAAGTGGCGGCGGCCTTCTTCTTCAACCAGGAGGTGCTGACCTTCAAGGCACCGCTGCAAGCAGCTCCTGAGGGCTCGCCCGAAGCGATTTCGTAGCCATGTGCTCAGTTTCTGGGATATGTTTGGTGAAGTTGTGGTCAATGCTGTGGATGGACGAAATCGTACACCTCTGACAGAAACCATTTCCCCGGAAATTACCAACAAACAATGGTATGGTTTCCAAGTGGTGCGCATTGCCTTTCGCAACCTTCCACACTTGGCCCAGCCATTTGTTTAGCTTTTTGGCTTTTAGTGTTCAGTGGTTGGGTTTCCATTGTCCCTTTGAGTGTTGGCTTTCCGCTCCGACTCAGCGACTCGTCAGGGCCACGGCAGCTTCCTTCCGGACGGATCTGGAGACGCGTGTTCCAGCCTCTCGGCACAAGTTGTTTGTTTGAGCGTCTCCATGCGTCAGGTGAAACGCCATGTATACTGGCATGGCCATGTCGCAAAGACGGCAAGGAAGAGCTTGAGAAACCAAAGACGCCGGCCAGGTACCAGGTGGTTTTGGGTGGCAAAGGCGCGGAATGCTGCAACTTCGCAGTGGCTGGAGTGGATTGCAGCTTGCATTTGACCTTGATGTTCCTTTACTGAAGAACTGCAAGCTGCACGTTTGCTACCCTCCTAGGTGCTACATTTGTGGCGAGAAGGGTAGATCACCAGTGAGCTTCCTTTGGGTCCGGGTTTCTTAGGATTCGAGCCAGGTGCGGAGACATATGGCTGCGGCGAAGGCTGCATTGAGCAAGCGCAAGGAGCGCGGACAGTGGAGATGTCCCTCGGAAAAAGTGTGCCAAAGATCAAGGCAGCATAGGGAAGCTACGCGTCTCACATTTGGCCATAGATGAAGGGCAACGTGTGTCTTTATTTGGCCTTTGCGGTTGGATCGCATATGATTGCCAGTCACCTGGATGTTGAGCCTCCAACTTGTTGGGAAACTGAGTTTGTTCCCTCCAAACAAAAAGCCAAGCTTTGTGCACGGCAAAATCCAAGATATATAGCTGTGGCTCAAAAACATGTATCAAAACGTTCCCTTGGTAGATGGACCCCAAAACTGAAACCTGCCTATCCTAGCGATGTTTTTTTGAGCCACGCCCAGATTCACTGGTTGGTGATGCCGGCTTTCCTCAGGACGTGTCACGGGCCGAAGAGCTTGCCCTAGACCAGGCGGTGCCGTTTGGAAATTGGGCGTCCCTGGTAGCCCTTGTTTGCGTTGGTGAAAGGGGACACCAAACACAACGCCATGCTGGGGGGGGATCCTTATTTTGACACCCCATATCTCTTTACGATTTGGTAGCGCATGTTCGGACTTTCACTTTTGGGAAAAGAGCGGAGTTTCGAAGTGGACCCACAAAAGGTTATTCAGTTGTTGCAAAGGCGTCAACAGCAACCAAGCATAAGTGCAGATGTTTGCCCTTTGATTTCCTTAAATTGGTTTGAGTGGACCTGTTTATTACCGGGTTTGATTATGACTCACATGCATCTGCCTTTTTGTTTCTGCTAGATCTGGGGATAAAGCGAGCTTTGGGGATCCCGCTCATTGGATTGGGTGTCCAGTAAGATGAAATCCGGGTCACTTTGAGAATACTCCCCTAGTTGTCCCCAAGTTGATTGGCCAAATGAGATAGTGTCTCCACTTGAACAGAAGTTGTGTGCTTGCAGGAGGTCAACGGTCAACAAGTCGCTGTTTTTGTTTTTTGTTTTTTGTTTTTTGTGTTTTCTTTTTTTTGTAACATGAGAAGGGGGCCGGAACCACATTCCCCACCTCAGGCAAAGGGGAGGGGGGGACATTGCCGGCTGGCTGGCTGCCTGGCTGGCTGGCTTGCTTGCTTGCTCGTTTCTATTTATGGTTTTGTCCTTCTGCTTGCTATCACGAAGATGATTTAACACGCTTTTTGTTGACCCTGTAGGTGCAAGCGGCCATCGAAGAGAGCTTCATGCGCGAGCCCTCGGAGTCAACTTCGCGGTAAAAAGCGGGTCCCGGACCGCGAAAAAGTACCCTTTGTTCCTTGTCTTCTTGAAGGTATTCTGGATTGGAGGGCTTTCTAGAATCAGAGGTGTGCATTCCCAAAACAAGCGGCAAAAGGCAAGCCCTGGTTAAGAACCAAAAGCCTTTGAGAGGGCCTGGCGTTTCGGACATATTGTGACATAGGGCCGCTTCGCAGCGAGGCCAACGCTCTTGTCTCCCAAAGGCACGCGGGACATGTTTCGATCCAGGCCCAGAAGTGCCCAGAAGTGCGACGCACAACGAGTTGTGTCCATTGGGAGATGGGTGGACCCACAAAAACGTCCCACAAAAACATTGGCGAGGTATGTCCGATGTTCATTAGGGTAACCGCATATTTCGACCGCTCAAGTGTTTTTTCCTTCCCTGGCCGGCTGATGGGATTTGTTCACATAAGAATTGTCAGCTGGTTGCGCAGCCATCCCCTCAGCTGTTTATTTAGCTTTTGGGTTGATTTAGTGGTTGGGTTTCAACTTCACCCACTAAACGTTAGTCACTTTTATCAGATCAGAAAACGGACGGCCCGAGCCGAATGGATCGGAAGGCGGTGCGAAACACTGGGACTCCTCGCCGAAGAGCGTGATGCCCATGGAGGCGCTTCGGATGCGCTGGGTAACCCGGCTCGGATCTCAAAGCTTGCTGTGGAACCAGCCATGGATGGCTCTACTTAGGTGTTTAGATCTGGTTGGTTGGTTTAGAGGGGGGATTCCGGAGTTAACCCACAAGTCAAACCTTTAGCAGAGGGCCATCCGGCTCAACTTAGGTGTTTAGATCTTTTTGGTTGGTTTAGTGGGGGGGTTCCGGATTTAACCCACAAGTTAGTCACTTTTAGCAGAGGATCAGAAACGGACAGCCCCGAAAAGGTGCCAGGTGCTCAAGGCCCAACAGAGCAAGTTGAGGGCATGTGCCATGCGAAGCGGAAGGCCCCTTCCTAGGTAGGTTTAGTGATTCGTATGCCCGGTGTTGAGACGCGTGAGCTCCTTCTCGAAGAGATTCGGAGTCCATGTGTGTGTGTGTGTGGGGTGGGCGTGCGCGTGCGGGTGCGCGTGCGCGTGCGCGTGCGGGTGCGCGTGCGGGTGCGGAGTCTTGGTCTTGGCGATGCGCGTGCGGCGTGCCTTGATGCTGGCGATACCCAGCGTCTTGTCGCAGCGTCTGCGTGTCAGCGTGCGATGTGCGTGTGCGTGTACGTGTGCGTAATGCGTGTGCGTGTGCGTGTGCGTGTCGCGTGTCGCCATTAATGCGTGTGCTGATGTGCGTCGCAGCGTCTTGGCGTGTGCGTGCTGCCCGTGCGCGTGTGCGCCGCGCCTGCGCGAAAGCCGCGTGCTGCGTGCGTGCGCGTGTGCGTGTGCGTGTGCGTGTGCGTGTGCGTGTGCGTGTGCGTGTGCGTGTGCGTGTGCGTGTGCCTGTGCGTGTGCGTGTGCGTGTGCGTGTGCGTGTACGTGTGCGTGTGTGCGTGTGTGCGTGTGTGCGTGTATGCGTGTGTGCGTGTGTGTATGCGTGTGGGCGTGTATGCGTGTGTGCGTGTGTGCGTGTGTGCGTGTGTGCGTGTGTGCGTGTGTGCGTGTGTGCGTGTGTGCGTGTGTGCGTGTGTGCGTGTGTGCGTGCGTGCGTGTGTGCGTGTGTGCGTGCGTGTGTGCGTGCGTGCGTGTGTGCGTGCGTGCGTGCGTGCGTGCGTGCGTGTGTGCGTGTGTGCGTGGGTGTGTGCGTGCGT